CTGTCAGTGGCAGGAAATATGCCCCATTCTTGGTGTAAGTGGGAGGAATAGTGCCCCAAGGGCCAGATAAGGGCAACCAAAGGGCCGCAGTTTGGAGACCTCTGCTCTAGAAGATGCAGCAATAAAGGCCCACTTTCCCTACACAGTGGGAAAGACATTGTGGAATAGTTAATGGTTTTATTGTTCCCCACTCGGTGTAATTTAGTAGTGTTGAGCACTCCTGCCTGGAGGACCAATTATTCTACAGTTCTGCATTTCGGAAGTAAGTTATTCATTTTTTTGTAGAGAAGAGGAAAGTTTTCAGGCAGCGGAAGTATTGGAGACAGATGGTATGTTAATCCCCGTGTCTCTCATCTCACAGTCTGTCCATTAGTATTGCTTTTCACAAACCGCTCATGCCAAATCCAGTGTGTTTATACACAAGGAATCCAACAATCGTAGAGTTGTGACAGGAGAAGACTCGGCTTTTACCCACCAATGTCAAAAATCTGCAGACAGACTCTGCTCCACCACACTCGGGTCATTAACCTGGCCAAGCCCCAGCTGTAGAGAAGTTTGATCACCCATTATTAACCTATTCGATATTTCTGACAGTATTATAGTTACTAGGGATGGAAAATTCCAATGTGGTAAAGGTAAACTGACCAGCATGCGGTTGATCACAAAGGACAAACATAAAAAACTGTTCTTATCAAACTTTGATGAATATCTTCCTGCAGAATTCAGACTTTTAATGTGATTCATTGGGGTTGATTTACTAGTAGAAGTAGAGAGTTCATTTGAACTTAAAACTCAAAAAAAAAAAAAAAATGCCAAAAGATTTGCATTTCTGTCTATCCAGTTCTAGGATGTGCACAGATCTTCATCTCAGGGAAAGCAAAACAGGGTGTGTTATTCAAAACACCATTGATTCAAGGATAAAAGTAAAAAGTTATACTCACAAACAAAACAATATCAGGAAAGATATGACCAGAACCACTGTGCTTGCCCCCAGTTTCGCTATGATGGCCCCACAAAGGCCTGCAGACACTTGACGCATTTCAAGGGTACCCCTCTTCTTCCGAAGCTTTGAGGAAGATATTTACTCTCAAAATTGCGTCAGCATCTGCAGGCCTTTCAGGGGCCATCAGGGTCTTTTCCAGAATGCAAACATGTTTAAATATATGTTTTCTATTTTCTGTAGGAAAATCCCAATCCCCATATGGCGTTTCAGAAAGTCCCAAAACCAACAGAGGGTTCTCATTTGCGAGTTCACATACTCCCCTTCACCAAAATCAATGACCTCAAAGTCCAGGAACTGATCCAAGATGGAGTCCAAAAGAATCAGAATTCTACCCAGGCCACTCGCATAGAGAAGAAGTGTATTGTCCCTGCCGGCTCCCCTGTTGGTAAGTCCTTTTTCTCTCTGTTGCTTGACGATCCAAAAGATGTTGGAAACTCTACCAAGTCAAAGAGTTTTGCTTGTTATACACATAACTATAAACAACTAATCATCGATTAATCGACTCAATCATTTGCTTAAAAGCTATCATCCCACTTCCGCAGAAGATGTTCAGTTGGATTTTTCCCCAGGACTGATTGTTCCTTATTGATGAAAATTGTTTATTGAGCAGACGTCTCATTTTGTGCAATAAAAATGTAATCATCCAATCCAGCTCTAGACTGTCGTTTTATTGGATTTTTTTTTATTCCGGCTTGAAATTGAAAACCTGCTTAATTACCTTGGCTACTAACTGCCTGAAATCTCCCTGCTCAGAACACGTTGGATCAGACTTCCTAGCCTACACTGTTCTGAGCATCTGGGCCTTGGAAACCCACTAGGAAAGTGCCTTTTACATTGGAATGTTTTTTTAATTTTAGGTTATTTTATGTGACCCTCTTCAAGCCGTATACAGCCATGGTTCCCTCCAGCCAGCTGCAGACCCCTTATCTTCTCATAGTGCCCCCCAACTCGCCATAGTGGTCTGCAGTGCCCCCAGGACCCTTGAGAGCCTTCAGCCTTCAAAATGCACCCCCCAACCCCCAACATTGCCTCTCCCCAGCCTGCTGAAGACCCTTTAAAGCGATACTAAAGGTTTTTTTTTTGTTTTTTGTAAAACAACAAACATGTTAATACTTACCTGCTGTGTGCAGTGGTTTTTCACAGAGCAGCCCGGATCCTCCTCTTCTTTGGTCCCCACAGGCTCTCCTGGTTCCTCCTTTATGCAAAGCAGCTTGCTTTGGGGGCACCCGCTGCTACGTGTGTCCATTCACACATGAAGCCGCAGTTTGACCCCACCCCCCCTCTCTCTCTCCTCATTGGCTGCCTGGCTGTGATTGACAGCAGTGGGAGCCAATGAAGAGGCAGAGACCCGGGATAGCCGAGGCTGTCATGCACATCGCTGGATCTCGATGGGGCTCAGGTGAGTATTGGGGGGGTAGGTACTGTTGTACACAGAAGGTTTTTTACCTTCATGCATAGAATGCTTGAAGGTAAGAAACCTTGAGGCTTTACAACCGCTTTAACTTTTTACAGTGCCCCCATCTCCCATGGTACCCATCCCCCAACTTCCCATAGTGGCCAGAGTGCGTCAGGCCCCTTGAGAGCCCTCAGCCTTCACAGTGCCCACCCCCCAACCTCCCACCGTGCCCCTGCTCAGCCTGCTGAAGAACCTTTACGTTCCCATAGTGCCCTTCAGCTCCCACAGTGTCCACCCCAACCTCCCATAGTGACCAAAGTCCCCCCAGGTCCCCTGAGAGCCCTCAGCCTTCACAGTGCCCCCTCTAATTTCCCACAGTGCCCCTCCTCATCCTGCTGCAGAGCCTCCAGCCTTCCATGGTGTCGCCAGCCTTTAACAGTGACCCACAGTGCTCCCTAACCCCTTCCACAAAACCTCATTCCCTAAAGGGCCACCAGGTCTGCTGCAGAGTCCCCTAACCCACTCTACAACACCCCGCCACCACCACCACCATCAAAATGACACCAGCCCCATCCATAACGTTCCAGCATTTCAATCTATGATTTGTATTCCCATATTTTAATTGTCTGAGTGTAAACTTTATTTTTTACTTCTTGGGGCACGGAACGGTTTGGTCTTATAATGGTTGGGAACCACTGGTATACAATCCCACCACATTTCCCCATATCCTACAACAAAGTCTTAATTAAAGTTGTTGTTATCCCAAGGAAGGTAAATAAAGTACCTTGCAAATAACATATCACTTATGATAAATTCAGAAAATTAAAAAAAAAGATCTTCCCCTGATCAACTATCTACATTGCAGAGATATTAGGAAACTTTATGAAAGATTCCTCCCTGCTTTTATCCCAGAGAACATAATAGTGCACTTGCTGAAGATTTCAGGAGGGGTGCTAAGTATACTTTATTTTTATACTTTAACCACTTCCCGTTGTATATAAACGGCCGGACGGTGGCAGTGCAGGGTCAGGTGGCCATTTATAAACGGCCTCCCTGCACCCTGCTTGTGCGCGCTCCCTGGGAGCGCGCAGCACCGCGATCCAGTGCCTGCTGTGTCCTCCGGACACAGTATAACACCGATCGTCGGACGGGACCTCTCTGCGAGGTCCCGATCATGTGATCACTGATTGGCCAATCACATGCAGAGTAGTAAGCAAGATGTCACTTCTGACATTATTGCTTACTACGTGTGAAATCTGTGAATGATCACAGAGGTCACATGGTACAAGGCTATTCACAGCAGCCTTGTACCATGTGACAAGTTGTGACCAATCACAGCTCACACAGTATTTCTCAATGGCTGCAAGAATGCAGATAGAAGGAGAAATTATTGCTTTTACAGCCTTTATGGGTGTAAAAGCAATCAGTGTAAAAAAAAAAATCACCACCCCCCACAAGTAGTACAGTGTCACCATGGTGACAGTATGTAAAAAAACCCATAAATAATAATATAAAAAAATAAAAAAAAATTTTGAAATTATAATTTTGGTTATAAACTAATTTGGGTTATTTTTTTTTTTTTTACTAAAAAGATAACGGAATAAATTTTGGCCAAATTTATGATGAAATATTATTTATTTACAAAATTTTATAAGAAATTTTTTTTCAAAATTTTTGGACATTTTCATTTACATAGCAAAAAAAATAATAATCCCACTGGTGAATAAATACCACCAAAATAAAGCTTTATCTGTCTCAAAAAAATGCTAAAAATTTCATATGGGTACAGTGTTGCATGACCGCGCAATTGTCATTCAAAGTGTGATAGCGCTGAAAGCTGAAAATTGGCCTGGACTGGAAGGGGGGGAAAGTGTCCGGACTGGAAGTGGTTAAATAAAAACCTTAGTTTACCATGAAGGCTACGTCTTTCTTCCTTTGCTCCTGGGGTGGTGTGGTTAGTGAGCAGTGAAAGCCTGAAATTGGGAGGGATTTCAACTGTTCCATTTTTGAGGTCTGCGGTTTAGCCCCCTTGCTGCTAACAGAAATCATTAACAGTATTTTTGAATGGGATCCTCGGGAACCGTATAAAGACATAACTAAACCCATCCAAGACTTGGCAGTCAGTCTGTCTGTGTTAACAGTTTTCATGCTCTGACAGAAATCATGAAATTTTGGCATTGATAGTGAAAGTATGTCTGATCATGCCAAAAAACTGTCTTTTATTTAAGGATAGTGATCCTAGATTGCAAGCTCCCAGGATCAGGGCCCTCCTATCCCTCTTGTATTGATCTGTATTGTTGCTGTTTTGTCTCCCTTATATTGTAAAGCACTGAGCAAACTGTTGGTGCCATAAATCCTGTATAAGAATAATAAGCCATTTATTATCAGATAGTTGTTTGGCTATCAACTATCTAATAAATGGCTTCATATGATTACCGAAAACCAATGCCAAGAGACTAGAGAGTCATGTTCGGCTGCAAGTTTTAATGGTTGTCTCTTACCCACCTTGACACCTTGGGAAATGGCTATGTGGCACTTGGCTGGCAACACTGCAGTTTTGGGTTGTCTATAACAGCGTTTCTCAACCTTTTTTCAGTCAAGGCACCCTTTAAAATGATGGACAGTCCCGAGGCACCCTTTAAAATTATGGACAGTCCCGAGGCACCCTTTAAAATGATGGACAGTCCCGAGGCACCCTTTAAAATGATGGACAGTACCGAGGTACCCTTTAAAATGATGGACAGTCCCGAGGCGCCCTTTATGATTATGGACAGTCTTGAGGCACCCTTTATGATTATGGACAGTTTGAGGCACCCTTTAAAATTATGGACAGTCCCGAGGCACCCTTTAAAATTATGGACAGTCTTGAGGCACCCTTTTTGATTATGGACAGTCCCGAGGCACCCTTTAAAATTATGGACAGTCCCGAGGCACCCTTTAAAATGATGGACAGTCCCGAGGCACCCTTTAAAATGATGGACAGTCTTGAGGCACCCTTTAAAATGATGGACAGTCTTGAGGCACCCTTTCAAATTATGGACAGACCCAAGGCACCCTTTAAAATTATGGACAGTCTTGAGGCACCCTTTATGATTATGGACAGTCCCGAGGCACCCTTTAAAATGATGGACAGTCCCGAGGCACCCTTTAAAATGATGGACAGTCCCGAGGCACCCTTTAAAATGATGGACAGTCCCGAGGCACCCTTTAAAATGATGGACAGTCCCGAGGCACCCTTTAAAATGATGGACAGTCCCGAGGCACCCTTTAAAATGATGGACAGTCCCGAGGCACCCTTTAAAATGATGGACAGTCCCGAGGCACCCTTTAAAATGATGGACAGTCCCGAGGCACCCTTTACGATTATGGACAGTCTTGAGGCACCCTTTACGATTATGGACAGTCTTGAGGCACCCTTTACGATTATGGACAGTCTTGAGACACACCCTTTAAAATTATGGACAGTCCCGAGGCACCCTTTAAAATTATGGACAGTCTTGAGGCAGCCTTTAAAATTATGGACAGTCTTGAGGCACCCAGCACTGATGGAGAGGGGCAAGGGAGGGTCAAACTACAATGCTGGTTGTCAGGATGGCGTTGGCTAGAAAGTCGTTATGGTCCACGATGAAAACCGGTGGCTTTGTGTAACTAAAAGGCAGGCTTGTTCCACCCGCTGGCTTGTATACAAATGTTGGGCAATTTTCAGACATTTTGCCAAGGCACCCCTGAAGAAATCTCAAGGCACCTCAGGGTGCCTGGGCACCCTGGTTGAGAAAGGCTGTTCTAATGTATACCTGGCAACCAAGGTCTAAGTGACCTTGGCCAGCTTGTTCCTTCACAAAGCCCTTCTCGAGCGTAAGAATTCATTCTCATTATATTCTGGACCTCGTTTGTGTACACACGCAGAAACTCATGCACAGATAAAGGATTTTCAGAGTGCTATAAAACAAGGCTCAGAATGGTGTCTGCCATACCCCCCAGTATGGCAGACAAGGGCTGTAGGAACTGTGCAGCTCAAATGAAGTATTGTCCTACACCCCATATTGAGCCCTGTGTAATCAATCATCTGGTGGGAAGATCCAACACTCTCACAGACGAGAAGCCGTCTTCTTCTTACGTGTATGTAGTGTTACTCCTATACACGTGTTTTTTAGCAGCGGGGCAGTTATTAGTTGTCAGTGCGCCCAGTCTTCCTTGCCATTGCACAATCCAATGTGTGCAATGAGCTTGTTTTAATTCCTCTCATAGTTTGGTTTTATTGAATACCAAATTAGAACCATTTGTGAGTATGCAGAATTCAGCACGGCATGATATTTGTTCTAGACGCCCAGCTGACGTCCCTGCGATTTGCCCCCGGCAGCCGCAGGGATTTGTAATAATGGAATCATGTGTGCCATTTCTATTAATACGCGGCAGATAGGAGTGTGCAGGCGATACGATGACAGCATGGACATCTCCATCAGGAGTCAGCTGGAGCTCTTACTTCACATTACAACCTTCTTTCCAGACGGACCGTTGTTGGATGATTTAAAGGGAAACCGATGGGTGCCGCCAGTTATAGATTTTTGTGGCCTTTTTAAGTAATATTTCTTCTTCAACTGTATGCATCCATTGACTTGGTACTATGACAACGTGACATCGACTGCAAACTAGTGGAATCCAGGCAAGCAGCTAAATTCAAAGCTGAAAGATTATAACTCTTTGCAGCCAGTCTTTTGATCCAAACACCTATGTCTTAGACCAGGGGTGGGCAACTGTGGCCCTCCAGCTGTTGGAGAACTACAAGCCCCATGAGGCATTGCAAAACTGACAGTTACAAGCATGACTCCCAAAGGCAGAGGCATGATGGGACTTGTAGTTCACCAACAGCTGGAGGGCCACAGTTGCCCACCCGTCTTAGACCATATTTTTCAATGTTAAAGCGGAGCTCCACCCAAAAGGGGAAGTTCCGCTTTAGGGACTGCTCCCCATTAAGGATTGGCACCTTTGAGGGTCGGGGGAGGGAGCGGGTACCCGAATTGGAAAGGTACCCGGTCCCACTTCCGGTCCGATTGCCTAGGCGATCGGAAGCGGAAGGTGTCCTCTCTCCTTCCCAGGGGCGGACTGACCATTTGGAAACTTGGGCACTGGGTCAGTAGGGGGCCCCATGAGATGCCCCTGGTACCTTTTTCATAGGTTTTTTTGAGTTTGGGCAAGGACACGGGCCCCATGATCCCCTATTGCCCGGGGGCCCCAGGAGTTGTCAGTCCGCCCCTGCTCCCTCCCTGTAGTCTTTTGGGACACGTGACAGGTCCCAGAAGACTACAGGACCATTCATGAAGCGCAGCGCTACTCGCGCATGCGCAGTGCTCCCGGGTGCCCACTCTGAAGGTGCCGGCCGTCTGGAATACAGGATGGCCGGTGAAATGGGCTGCGGGGGACACACCACAGGACCGAGGGACAGGTAAGTGGCTGTTTTTTAAAAGTCAGCAGCTACAGGTTTTGTAGCTGCTGACTTTTATTTTTTGACGTCGTGAGTGGAACTCCGCTTTGGTGTTGAGGAGTACAGAGTGGCTGCCAATCATACCCATGGCAGTTGATTGGACAATTGACCTCTTCCTGCCATGCTCCCAGAGTCCCTTTATCTGGGCTATTACACCCGGCGGGTGAGAGGTTTGCCTCATCACATGACTATTGTGATTGGCTGCCACATTGGTCTCATGATCGTGAGCCAGTCCTGCCACCTCCCACCCATCGCTGGAGTCTGGGAACTGTCTTTGGCAGCTCAGTCACTGTGCTAGGAGCACGCTCTTAGCTCAAAAACCTCAGCCCCGCCCCCAAGGACACATACTGTATGTGCAGAACGTGGGAGTTAAGACCCACCTTGGTACACTCTAAATATGGTAACATGGTTTAGAACAGTGGTTCTCCACCTTCCTAATGCCATGACCCTTTAATACAGGTCCTCATTTTGTGGTGACCACCAACCATAAAATTATTTGCCTAGTAATTATAATTCATGAGTGTCGTTTTACCTCCAATACTGCTGCTTTCAACACAGTAGCTGCTTTTAACACAGTAGCTGCTTTTAACACAGTAGCTGCTTTCAACACACCAGCTGCTTTCTACACGGTAGCTGCTCTTTACACATCGGAAATATGTGTTTTCCAATGGTCTCAGGCGACCCCTATGAAAGGGTTGTTCGACCCACAGGTTTGAGAACCACTGGTTTAGAAGGTGAAGGCCTTTAAACAACAAAGAGCCTTCTCACACAGTATAGAGATTAAATTCTTTGACGTTTATGTACGTTTCCGGTGCAGTCTTTTGTTCTGTGTTTGCTGACATTTTACTCTTAAAAGTTTCAGTTAGTAATATCATATATCATCTGTTGTCTCCCTGCTCTCTGACAGTCTCTATAGTGGACAAGGTCAGCTCGGTTTTTAACAGTGCCCGACGACTGGAAGTGGTTCGAAACTGCATCTCATACATCTTTGAAAACAAAATACTGGAAACTGAAAAGGTGAGTTTTATTAGTAACTATTCTTATGTCTTATTCAAACTAAAGAAAGTAACCTAATAAGGGTTTTGTCATTTATTTATTTTTATTATTTCAGGTACTTATAACGCCATCAATGTACTCCACGCTTTACATATATATTGTACATTCACATCAGTCCCTAACCCTGAAGGGGTGTAAAATCTAAAGTCCCTAACTCACATTCATACATACACGTTCTAGGGCCAATTTTGTTTCCAGTTAACCTACCAGCATGTCTTTGGAGAGTAGGAGGAAACTGGAGTACCTGGAGGATACCCACGCAGGCACAGGGAGAGCATGCAAACTCCAGGCAGATGGTCATAGATAAAATTATCTGATACAAGGACACCATGGTAGCTTTATTTTTCTTCTTCATTTACAACAGTGTCAGCACAGAGAACCTCATATCATCAGGCCACACCCTCAAGGAACTTGCATATATTCCCCAACCCTTCCTCCATAGTCACAGTAGGGTCAATATAGAAGTCAGTTCACTTTGTCATTAAAGTGTTGCCTTGGTGGTGGAAACCCATAGCATTCACCATGTATAAAATGATCCGATCCAAGGACACCATGATAGCTTTATTTGTGGTCATCTATACAGTGTCAGGACAGAGAACCTCAAAGCATTTATATCAGGTCCCTCCCCCAAGGATTTAGAAGGCAAAAAAGTTATCAGTAAAGTGTTGTCTCGAGGATTGAAACCATGGGAAAGCAATTCATTCAAATATTCTGATCGAAAGACACTAGGGGAGTCATATTTGCTTAAAGGAGAAGTACAGTCAAAGATTTTTTTTGCTGTACTTTTCATGTGGATCACAGGAGTGCAGTTCATTCTGCACTCCTCTGACCAGGGGCGGACTGACCATTTAGAAACTTGGGCACTGCCTGAGGACCCGGGGTCAGTAGGGGGCGCCATGAGATGCCCCTGGTACCTTTTTTTTATAGGCTTTTTTGAGTTTGGGCAAGGACAGAGGGGCCCCATGATCCCCTCTTGCCCGGGGGCCCCATGAGTTGTCAGTCCACCCCTGCCTCTGACCCATTTTCAGCTGACAGTGGGCTGAGGCCCGCTCTCGGTTGATGTCACTCAGCCAGTCCAGGCTGGGGAAAGATCCTGACTTTTAAGTCGGGATCCACTCCGGAGTCTGGAGCGGCACCTGGCTCATACTCCGATTTGCTGAGAGCCTGAGCCAGCCACTCCCTCCCCCTCCACAACCCAGCATGCCAGTGAACTTGAAGGGAGGGGATAAGCAGACAGCGGCGACCTTACAGCCACCGCTCTCTGCTCAGAGCGGCTGTGTGAGCTCAGTGATCAGTGGTCATGTGATTGCTAAATTCTCACACCTAGATAAGTATGATTATTTTTTAAAAAAGGAAATCCCTTTTTACTTTTCCCTTCTTTTAGTTTTCACAGCTACAGCAAAAAGAACCATTGATTTTAAGCCCTGCCCCTGAGGAGCTTCTGTGTATTCAAAAACACTGTTATAG